TGCAGCAAATATTAGACTTGGATAAGTATGCTTTACTTATACCTCTTATGTCAATTCAATAATAATAAGCTTCAATAGTTTGTTAATGATAAAAGGAAATACCATTGCCAATCTTAAGCAATCGGACATCATGAAACTATCGATATGGAATATCGGATTTGGCAATTTGGACCAAGTGTTTGGATATTCAAATAACTTCCAAATTGCAATAAATGCGGATTTTCCTTCTGTAGAAAAAGCATCAAGTGTTATTTTAAGAAGCCTTAACACTTTACCAGCTGTAGCATGATACACATCATGTGGTGATTGAAGATGGCTTTCCTATTGTAGTTGGTTGAGTATCTGGGAATGCAAGTGCAATCCATATCTTGAAGCTATTTCTTTATGTCCTGTTATAGTCGATGCTGTAAAAATCTCTTCAAATTGTTTATCCATAAAATACTGATAAAGAGAATTTATAAACAAATTAATATTATCAGATGTCCACAATTCTTTGGCAGTATTACAAGTACAACAACCCCTTATAGCATTATGTCGTTTAACTCCAACCAAATCATTTCCCTGCAGCAAATCTGAAGTTACATCTCCAAGGCTTGCAAATACAAGACATTTATTGCCTTGCACGTTCATTATTTTTCCCTTCTCTAAAAGTTTCATTTCACTAACAAAAGGTCTAATGAATTCATTGAAAGAACCACCAAATGGTACAAATCCAAGTACAAAATGGTTCTTAAGCTCTTTTTTTTGATCAAACCGCATATTCCCGATTGAATATAAACACTACCCAATGTGTGATAAACATTGCGAAATGTACCAAAATCATTATAATAAAGATCTAGATATAATTTATAGACAGGAAGACTTGTAGTAGGTTCTTTTAACATAGCGAATTCTGAAGGATGTTTGTAAGCATAGATAATATTTCTTAATTTCCATTTATTGTTATACTTATATAATATCTCACAGATCGTGAGTGAAGGAAGTTTATCCATATTATTATCGTATAAGATTGTGATCATAATACGCTTTATAACTGCTTGCAATCCTATAGTTATAGTTGCATCATTCACCTCTCGATCCAACATCCATACTTCACCTCTCTTTGATCTTTCCATACGATTGTTACTTCAAAAATTTTCTGGTAGCTCATCAAATGTTAGAATACGTTGGATGTTGATATTAATGCTACCATCTTTTTGAACTATTGATAAAATACGGCCGATCTGTTTGATAGATTTTTGATAAACTACAAAATTCCCAACGTAATATTTTACTAAAAAAAAAAGTATAAAAGATTAATAACATGTATTTAAATAAATAAAATAAATAAAGAAGAAATAAATATGTAATAAATAATAAAATATAAAAAATAAATAAATAATAAAATAAAGAGATAATAAATAAAAGATAATCCAGATTGTTACCTCTGTTTATGATAACCGACTCCTGTCCAAATCTCAGCAATTCCTTCCAAATATTACCATGCCATAATTCATAATTTCTTGCGACTTCTTGCCCTGGACCAAAGTACATTGTGTTGAATAATGAAGGATTATTAAGAATACACCTGATAATATCAGAAATTGACAAATAATACGCATTTTTAACATCTTTTGATGTAGATGGTGTCTTTTTGTTAGAAATACAAATTTGATGGGATTTAATTTTAAGTAAAGGCAGTCTTTGCCTATATTGTCTAAATCGCCTAATATTCTTTACAACATCTTCGCTTTTGAATTAAGGATTATGAATTATGTTTGCTAAATCATTATAAGCATGGGTAGCTAAAAATCAAACAAAAATTAACAAATAAATATGATATTATGATATATAAATTATTTTAACTTACTTATATTATGCTTCTGGATCCAGAAAAATATTAATGTTTCTGTAATGTTACTGAATTATGGTGCAAATTCTCTGGTAATAGATGGCATTTCTTCACTACTTAAAGGTTCATCAACAATTTTTCTGTCAAAATCTTCTTCACTCAACAAATCTTCTTCACTCAACAAATCTTCTTCACTCAACAAATCGTCATCACTCAACAAATCGTCATCACTTAACAAATCGTCATCACTCAACAAATTATCTTCGCTCAGAACACTGTCTTCTCTCAACAAATTGTCTTCGCTCAGAACATCATCTTCGCTTAACAAATTATCTTTGCTCAACACATTGTCTTCGTCTAATACATCATCATAATTATCATTTGAAATATTATAATTGAAATTCTATTCACTTAACAAATTATTACTAGACATCTTTTCAATATGATCATTGTTAGAGATGTTAGCTCTGATGCTTCTCTCGTTCACTATGTCATGTGAAGGTGTGTTAAAAATACGAAATGGAAGTCTTATATAATTCTGACGAGAATTAAAGGGAATGTAATGATTACAAAACATTGTAGAAAAATAGAAGAAAAATCTGAATACTTATTTGAAAAAGTAATCACAGAATTATATATAAATTAAATTTATCCTTTACACCATTTTGCAGGCAAATTTTCCTGAAAATTTCATGATTAATCTGTGATCAAGCTATCAAATTATATTGGAATGTAGTCTAAATTGCAGTAGATTCATAGTTAAATTGACGGTTTAAGGGATAATTTATTAATCAGAATTTCATCATATTGATAATATATATGATATTTAAATTAATTGAAATACAATTTTAAGAGAGATGATTAGTAATTAAATCACTAGTGCATATTTCACCACTTTTTCAATTCTTCATAATAAAATTGTAAGGTTGGTAAAATTCATAAGCTGAGGTCAGGTATTCTAACACACCTAAGAGTGCTAATGTAAAAGTTTTCAGAAAAAAAAATATTATTCCCAAATTTTATTAAAACAAATAAACTAATATTCGGTCTAATACCCATCGTTAACTAATAAATGCCTTAAATTTTAAAACAAAACTTGATAATCAGACTTTCAACAACAATTTGAAATCTGTTGTTTTGTGAGTTAGGTTATTTTGACACACTATACTATCTGATTAGACCTCAGTATTAATTATCTAAATTTAGCATAATTCTATTTACATTAGCTCTTTTTGTACTTTTGATTTTGCTGACCTCTCCCCTGAAATTGCTTAGATAGAAAAAAAGAGAAAAAAATAACGTAAGAACTACACAATAACGTCTAACCTTCCCTCAAGTCTTGATCAGAATTGTATCATTCGATTCGTTTCAGTAAAACGAATCGAATGGTACTAAAATTGTTTGATTCTAACCAGTGTATTGAAAGATACATATCATCAAAAAACGTAAGTGCGTCAAAATACCTCCCGTGTTATAATACTCGACCCTACCTTATATTACACTTTAAATATTTAACTTTCTAACCTAAATGTACTAATTGTCTTTGCTGGTTTAGGTATAGTACAAATTGATACTTGGGTATTACATATGTAAGCAGTCATTAATCATGGGCATACTTGTCGTATCTTGATATTGATGCATAAGATCGATGCATAAGATCGAAATACCAAATTTGGTGAAATTTGTGTTTTTCAATTTTCTCTTCCCATTGAAAATTGCTGAATGATATGAATAAAATAACTTATCTAACACTAGCCTACTTTATCATTTCGTGGATATCCATGTCTGTAAAATAATATAATAACCTCGAATTAACATATCAAAAAGAATAAAAAAAGAAGAATATAAAAATAAAATTAATAGTGATATGCTTTATTTAAATACATATCTTTATAATATGGCATTTTTCACTAAGAATCCTATTAGTAACTTTAATGGAATCCCAAAGTCTTTGTAGCAAAGTCAACTTATAACTTAAATGTCATATTATTACTCTAAGATTGTAATCGCGGTGTAATGACTACTTGATAAATAATAGCACTGAGCAATTTCAGGTTAATAATTATTTATTAGAAGAAATCTAGATACACGTATAAACGCAACATTCGTAACATGATTGTCATAACCATCATGTCTTAAGACACTATAACTCGTATGCTTCTTTGTATATTATAAAAATATGATAAATTTTTATTGAAAAGGCAAAATCTTTTAACAAATATGACACTAAAAGAATTTCAACAAAAAGCCATTCTTTATTATCGCGTGACATTACACAATCATCTAATAATTAAAATCGGAGCTACGTAATAAACTTTCAATGGCTAACAATCATATATATATATATATGATATTTGCTTTTTTTTTTTTACTTTACTGCTTAAACATGAATACTAAAAGTTCCAAGATATTTACAAATGATAAAATTTCCACTACTGCGAAATGAGACTGTAAAAAAAAAGAAAGTAATCTTTTGAGTGTTGACAATTCACAGATTAACTCAAACACAGCTAAAAAACGAGGTCGAAAAAAGAAGCAAGAAACAGCGGCATCATCGTCCCTACAAACAATGAATAAACTTACGGATGATACTGACAAATTACAAGGCAAATATTACTTTTTATTTTGATTTTTATTAATTAATTATGATGTTTTATGATTCTCTTTTTAGATAACAATAAAAATAAGCGAGGTCGCAAAAAGAAACAAACAACTGTTATGCTTTTGTCTTTACAAATAATTGATAAACTTATCAATGATTCTAACAATTTACAAGGTAAATATTATTTTTATTTTGAGTTTTATTATTAGTTATATGATGTTTTATACAGTAGTTTTATTATATGATAATGAAGATGTGCAAGGTCGTAAAAAGAAACAAAAAACAGTTACACCTTCATCTTCACGAGTAATTAACAACCTTTTAAATGATTCTGACGACCTACAAGATAACGAACTACTTTATAAATTTATCATTATGGTTTTGTTATATTGATTTATTCACGATTCTCTTTTTAGACGATGATGACTTACAAGGTAATGACAAAGTTTGTGAAGTTATCATTACGGCTTTGTTATATTGTAATATTTTCATGATTCTCTTTTTAGACGATGAAGATATTACAAGCCATGGTAGATTTTCTCAATCTTCATTAAATGTGCCTTCATGACAACAATCACCAGCTCAAAGATTTGGCAATGAATCACCAGTTCTAGGGTTAAGGACATCGTTTCAAGTAACTACACCACCAAGACAGCTATCACCAACTTTAGAGCCAAGCGTTGTGCTTCCAACATGACTCTCACCAATTTTAAGTTCAAGAACTAATGCTAATATTCAAAATGATTTTTACCAACATCCGATTAGTTCAATAGTCACGCCTTTAAGAAAGTCGTCAACTCTAGAATCCAACTCCTCTAATAATGCGCTTGGCCAATTCAATCCTAATAACACAGTTATTCCGTCACCACTTAATAACATGTCAATTTATCAGATTTGTTTGTGGTTATGTTCAAATCCGAACATTTTACAGCTTGCAAATAATATGAATTTATCAATGCAAACTTAAGCTGCAGAAGGCTTACAATTTATGCCAACTATCTCTCCAGCATTATCAATTGCAATGCCAAATCTATATGATAAAGTAATTCTTTTTTTTTAATAAATATCTTTATAAATTATTAACAAATTCATATAATAGACAATAGTTGGCCAGGACTATTTGGAGGAGTTAAAGTGTCTTTTTCTTCGTGCTCGAAATCCTCCACGACAAGTGTTTGAGAACTTGGTATAACAAATTATCAAATGTGATCTCAATTCACCTGAAGGTATTGAATGGCTTCAAACAGCTACCAAACACTTCGGAGATTTTCGTAACAAATTAGTTAATAGCATCAAAAAGTTAGTGGAAGATTTCAAAGAAAGGAGGAGTTGGTTAGTATATAGTATTATTTACTCTTTCTGTTTTTTTTTGCAGAAAATCTTGATGCCAATCGACTTTTTTCTATTCCAGTAACAAAATTACAGAGCCATTTTTTATAT